AGTGGCCACTCCTGGGAAATTTAGGGAAGGTCTTTCCTTAAAAGAAAAAAAAATAGGGGCACCTGGGTGGCTCAGTTGGTTAAGTATCCGACTTTGACTCAGGTCATGATCTCGTAGTTTGTGAGTTTGAGCCCCACATCTGGCTCTGCTGACAGCTCAGAGCCTGGAACCTGCTTCGGATTCTGTGTCTCCCTCTCTCTCTGCACTCCCCCCCCAGTCATGCTCTGTCTCTCTCAAAAAAGTAAATAAAATTTAAAAAAAATTTAAGGAATAAATAAATAAAGCAGAGAAAAGGGTGAAAATCCTAAACAGCAGTCAGCAAACACATAGCATGATTAAGTAAAAAGAAATGAAAATGAGGTAATTGTTATTTTTCTGAATTTATAACGTCAGCATAGTCTGTGGGTGTCGATGCAGCTTAAGCCTATGGACTCAGGTTGATTTTCACGCCCATATAGATTTAAGTCAGTAGTTTAGCTCCCAACCTTGCACAAAACCCCAAACTTAATCCTGTGTACTTTAGAAATCAAGCTGAAAGCAGTAAAAGTTAGAAGACCTCGGTTCTGGTCCCAACTGTACCACTGAGTAACTGTGACTCTGGAAAATCACTTGAACCCTTCGCATTCCACTTGCTGATCAGTAATGTGGAAGCCATGACACTCACCCCAGCTCACGAGGGTCTAGCATAAAGGAGGCTTGCTTGTCCTAGAGACACAGAGGTTCCTCCAGCTTATCCACTATGTTCTTTCTGGGAGATGAACCCCTAAGCCCATATTAAGTGGGGGGAAGGAGCAGGCAGTCCACATCTCGCATGTTTCTATTGTGCTCTGGAACCTGGGTCGTGTTGAGGCTTCAATATGTGATTCCATCTGGTCCTCTGGGCAACCCCATGAGCAGATGTCAGTGTCCTCGCTTTATACATCAGGCAACCGAGGCTGGGGTTATTGGAACAGCTTGTCCTGGGTCCCCCCATGGTAGCAGGGAGAAAGCTGGAACTCAAACCTAAGCCCCTCTTGTCTCCAAAAGGCAAGCTCCTTCCTGTCAGACAGCTGCTGCCATTTCTAAACATAAAAACAAATAATCAGAATAAAGTTGGGGAGTTGGACTTGTATTCTCAGGCTTTTGTAACCCAGTTGAATTTGTCTTGAGGGTGTCAGAAAGTTCTCCTGGAAGTTTTTGATAAAATAAAAGTGGCAAATACATATTTATTCAAGTAGAGGGATATCAGTAATTGATAAAATTCTTACATCAAAACATAGACACAGCGGGTCACTGAAAAAACTCAAAATATCTAGGAACCAAGATGGATTGCTAGGTAGTAATTTAAATGTTCTCCGAATTGAGTAATCAAAGGGAAAATTCTCTCTTTAAAAAAATACTTGTGTGTGGTTTTTAATGAGATAGTAATTTAGAACAGAATTGAAGTTTTACATTTGTTAGTGGACTTTCTGAGAGAACAACAGAGCAGTGGCTAGTATTAAAACAGGTATTGGATTTGTGACCAGGTGTCTCTTTAGCCACCTGCTTTCAGCCAGAGGCACTGACCATCCACTGCCTGGCATTATTACAGCATTTGGTTCATATCTTAACATGTCTTACACAGGAGAGGAACCTTAGAATAGCGTTTCGATGTCTAAATTATAAATGCCTTTTTTTTTTAATTTATATAGAAAACAACCAGCATTGAAGCCCTAAAGATATTAGATAAGAAAATGTCAGGGGTGCCTGGGTGGCTCAGTTGGTTAAGCGACCAACTTCAGCTCAGGTCATGCTCTCACAGTCTGTGAGTTCAAGTCCTGCATCAGGCTCTGCACTGATGGCTCAGAGCCTAGAGCCTGCCTCAGATCCTGTCTCTCCCTCTCTCTCTCTCTCTCTCTGTCTCTCTCTCTCTGCCCCTCCCCCACTAGCACCCTGTAACTCTCAAAAATAAATAAACATTAATTGCACGGGTCCACTTATATGCAAATTTAAAAAAAGAAAAAGAAAAGAAAATGTCAGGTGATGCTGCTCCTAATTGCCCTTGTTAGTAGTTCTAATAAATTCAGTTAAGTCCCAGAGCTATGTACATTCTTTAAAGCTACTAAAAGAAATGATTTTTGGCACCCTGAGCTCCTTCGCTGTTTCTAAACAGTGCCAGGATTGGGGTGGTGTTTGTTTTCTTTTTGTCATGGTGTTTACATGCCCTGGCGTGGGCCTTGAGTGAAAATGCATTTGGTGATCTCCTGGTCTCCCTGCAGTCCCTAATGGATGTTTGTCTAGATGACAACACCCAGTTTAGCGCTGTTAACGCTCCAATGACAGCATAGGACCAGCCTGGGGGTGGGGGAGTGTGTGCTACGTGTGACAAGGGCGTGAATGCAAGATTGGGAATCTTCTGTGAGGTAAACACTTCCTCCTCTGGTATCCAGTTCTGGAAGCACCTTTTTGTGCTGTCTCCCACAGTGCCTTCTTTGAGGAGTCAGACCATAAATGTTCAAGTCAGAGAATCTCAAAACTTGATTATCACCCCCGGTAACTCAAGTGCTGGACTTGCTCTTAGGAGCCCAGATTTCTCAGCCTTGACAGGGACAAGCTTACCAACTGGATAGTGTCATTCAGGGAGAGGATGACGAGCTGCTGTCTGAGGTCAATTTCTGTGGTATTATACATGACATCTCTTTGTAGGGTTGACTGCGAGCTTGATTAACATCGCAGCCACTCTTGCAGATATGTGGCTTCCATAGCACATTTAGCAAAATGCATCCACTCTTCTGTTTTGTTCACCATTGTCCCAAGCACTGTATGTGGATGTGTTGGACGCAGTGGGGCCTTTCAGGAAACAGCAGGACCATTCTAGGCAGAGCATGACAGGTCTTTAGAGGGCCGCGCCTGCTCTAACCCGGGCCCTCAAGCAGACTGCGGTCTGAAAGGGGGAGCCATGAATTGCGTGTTGACAGCGGGCCACGGCTGTCCTAAGGCTCAGGTGGTTGTCAGCCATAAGTTTAGCTCAGCTCTTTGAGTAATTTGTCACGCCTCGCTCGGCCCCTGCTGGGCCAGCACGTGCCAGCTTAGTGTCAGAGTGCCTGTTCGCCAGACGGCCACTCAGGCCTAACGTCCTGCTGTTCCCTGGACCAGCGGCTTGCTGGGGCCGTGCACGGAGGGCCGAGCTGCGCGACAGCCAAGTGCTGTGCAGAATAAGCGTGTTCATAATGAGACGTGAATGGCATTAGTGGGTCCCTCTAGAATTGGGCCTGAGAGGATGCCTCTCACTGTGGAAGTTTGGCAGCCTGTTCATCAGGGCGAGTCACTGGGAGTTCAGCCTGCATTCGAGAAGCCGGTTCAGACTCCCACCACCCAGGCCTTAGGCTGCCGTGACTGTCTGCATAAAACACTAAATTCATCAGAGGGGCCACTTTTGAATTCTTTTTTAAAGTTACATAGAGCAAACGTAAAGAGAAATTCTGGAACAGAGCTGCCCCATAGCTCTCGCCACGACAAAGGACGTGTTTCACATCCATGCAATCCAGCACAGTGACCCCAGCTGCATGTGGCTGCTGGGTGCTTGAAATACAGCTAGTGGGACAGAGGAACTGAATTTCTATTTTTTTATTTTAATTAATTTAAATTTAAATTTAGATAGCCACATGCGGCTCATGGCTACTGCAGTAGACAGCACAGCCCCAAGATGCCTCTGGTCTCATGGTGTAAAAATCTTCCTCTGAATATAATTAAAAGGGGCAGAAGAGGAAGGGCCTGCATTGGGAAATCCATATGCATACTTTGACAAAAGAAAATAGAAAAATATTTTCCAATCTTAAAACACATGCTTACTGAAAGCTAATCGGAAAAGCATAATTGTCACCAACTTTTATTTTTAAAGAGGCTGTTTTGGAAAGATAGTTTTAAAATACGGTGAGAAATGCTAGGATTACTTTTGCTCTTCCAGAGTAGCAAATAATGAACTGATTGATGGTGATCCACATTCCCTGTGTTCCTGGAGAATTAGCATGATTTTCAAAACGACTAAAACACATCTTTTAACTTTTGCATTGATAACTAGGAAGGGGAAAATGAGACGTCATGCTGACTTCCCCAACTGTTAATTCATAAAGTCATACGCGCGGTGCCTCCATCCGCTGTCGAATTGTTCTGACGTTATCCTGTTATTGGAAGTGCATGATTCACCTTCCGAGGAAACAGAAGCCATACACAAAAGGGGAAGATTTGCTTTCTGCCCTATGAAAGGCTGCCACACGCAGGGGTCCTATTAAGACAGCTGGAAAGTTGCTTCAGCGTGTTACGCTTGTAAGTTTTATTGGTGACTGGTTTTTGATTACACATTTGAATGCGTGTGTTCCAGACTGCAGTTTTAATTAAAAGGCAATAGTCTTTTCTTTTTTAAATTGCATTGTGCACTCTCTGCTAGAGTCCCCCACTTATTAGTTCCTATTTTCTAATGCTCGTAGCCTGTCCTGGCCTTAGGCACTGGTGCCCCCTTGGAGCATACCTTCCTGGCCTTCCCTCTTCCGTGCAGTGTCTTTTTTTTTTTTTTTAAGTGTACACCAATTCTTGCTTCAAGTGTCAATTCATTTTATAGGGACTGAGAAGAACATTCTATCCACTGACCTAGGAAGGGAAGGTCCGACATCATCACACAGCCGTCAGTGGAAAGAGATGCCGTCACAATCAATGCCTCTGTTTTTGTTTGTTTGGATCAACCTTAATGATTTTTTGCTATGATTCTATAACTATTGATGTTCATATTTTTCAGTAATACTGGTGTTGGATGTAACTGACTGAAGTCTAAGAGAAACAGGTCTCAATATCAGAATCTTGCCATTAATTATGACTTCTATTTAATTCCCTGGCAAGAGGTTAACAGACTTGGAAGGTACTTTCTTCCCCCCCCACACACACACACACATAAAAGTTGCATAACCATATTCAAACCAGAGTGAACCGTGTCATTGTTATATGTGTCGTTCCACATGTGCACTTGTTTCCTTAATCAATGACTGCAGTTACGAAGAGAGAGCTCTGTACCTCGAAGCAATAATTCAGAACCACCGAGAAGTAATGACGTTTGAGGATTTCGCGGCCCAAGTCTTTTCTCCCTCGCCCAGCCCCTCCCTCGGCGGAACGGGTGAGTGTCTGCATTATTCTGCCCTCCCTCGCTTAGGACGCACTCGAGCAGCAGATGTACACCTGTTTTTCACAGATAAATGCTTGCAAATTTAAGAAGAGCATTCTCCCTCTGAATCAACTAATGAATATCAAAAGGAATGATGACATTCATTTTAATTTGTTTTGTATCCGAGCTGTTCACTCAGTGCTTTTCTTCAGCTATCCTGTTAACCCCCGAATCTAGCAAGGTTAATGAACTTTTTCTCAGTAATGTGCTCCGGTTCATTCAGGAGTGTAGGTTTCTTGCTGAGCTGGGAATATGTTGTTTAAAAGCGATGCCCGAATCAGTGCTTACTTATCAAAAAAGTGTTCCTCACAGTCGAAGCCGTTGCTACTAATGCTAAATGGGGATTATGCTGCCGAGATACTCGGGTCAGGGATTAATGCAGGAGAGATGGAAGGACAGTGTCCCCTGGTCCATCATTACAGCAGAGCCGCGTGCACGCTTTCTCTCTGGAGTGGCCTGTGTCACACGGACAGGCTGCCGACCAGCGCAGCACCTGGCGTGGAACCTGTTTAGAAACTGGCTTTCAATCATTTTCATTTATTATGCCAATGGAATATTTCAGAAATTTGCATGAATGTCCTTGTTTTTAGGTTTTACTCTTTTTGTATTTCCAATTCAAAAAAAAAAAAAAAAGGGTACTACCCCTTAAACTGATTATATGATTACTGTGGGTTTTTTTTTTCCCAAAGAATAGAATTACTTGTGAATTTCTGCATGTAATTACAGATTAATTGCCTTTCAGAGAGTAAATGGGATATTTAGTCAATGCATGTTGAAATTCTCAATGAGGGGCTTCCTTCTTCTTCCACCAGTGTAGACACAACTGTTAGCATGCTTAATAGATTTCTAACCTGTGTCAATTGACTCTGAACACTGCCTTACTTCTCCGATTCTGACTTGTTACTAAATATCTTACACACAAAGTGAAAAAAAATTAAATTCAGTGAAATAAATCACTTACAAATAAAATCAGCCATGCATCATTGTTTAACATCGCTGGCTTCAATCCTTGCCTCTCCGAGCTTTGTTGGGAGATAAGAGGGAGAGGCTTGCACTTTGCACAGGGAGCCAGGAGCAGCAGGCAGAAGGCCGGGGAGATAAGCAAGCTGGCCGAGGTGCTGGAGCCGGGCGATTTACATAATCACGCCTCTGCTTCCTGGTGAGGCGTCAAGAAACACAGGGATGGCCTCTATTGATCTTTGTTGAACTGGAATACTAAACAACATGAGAAAGCTTATAACTTAAAGCTTTGATTAATGTTTCCTATATTAAAAAAAAAAAAAGTAGAACAGCTGTGAATTGAATTCTTTTATACCCTCTGCCAACATTCTATCTAAAACCAAAAAAAAAAAAAAAAAAAATCAGTTTCAAGGGAAATGGAGATTTCACACCACTCTGGCTAGAGGTTGAAAATCATTTCTAGTGTGTAGGTGAAAGAACATGAAGGATCTGTAGCAAAGCTAATTTTTTAAAGATCGCATTCAGCTCTTTTTCATCCTCATGAGGTCCTGGGACTTAGTTTTTCTGTGCAGGGTTTTGTGAGTTGTTGGGGTTTTTTTGTTTGTTTGTTTGTTTTTAACTCTTAAGAAAGGTTTTTATTTCTTATAATTAGAAGAAATGAAATAATAACTAGGTATTGACATTCCTTAACTCTTACATTCTTAAGGCTCTAGATTAAGATGTTCCTGAAACAAATATTGATGAGCTTTGTTTTCCATGCATACTTTAGCATCTATGTAAATTAGTTTGATCTTTTCCAAAAGTTCATAATTATTTAAATCCATCCAAATGAGCTAGTGTGTAGGTAATATCTTAAGTGAGTCTCCAGAAGTGATTTGGGTTTTTCAGGACCTGGTATTTGGAGGGAATGGCTAGCAGGCTTCTTCGAGAGCATCACGTTGCCAAGGTAACTTAGCAGATAAGGGTCTGACAGCTCATGAGTGGGCCCTGGGACCCATACAAAAGGAACATGAAACCAAACATGGGCTATCAAGACAAATGCTGTTTCTTCCTCCTTTCAAATTGTTTGCATCCACATTACATTTCATAATGTTTAGGGTTTAGAGCATTCCGTGTTGAATGATAAAATTTTTTTGTACACATATCACATCAGTCCATGAATGCAATTTTAAGTCTGGGTGGCATGTTCTCTGTCACCACTTTGCATATCTGCCCACACCAAAGATGAGGAAGGAACTGGAAAGGAACTTGATGCGAACTGAAATCTGGAGGCAGTGCAGCGAGGGCGGAGCATTTCCAGACCATAAATAGGCACATTTTCAAAAGCACATCCTCCGCTCTTCACATACCAGTTTTGCTTTTGAGGAATCCCTATCCCAGCCTATTACCACTTTTACAGATGAAAACATTTTTCATTTATTCGGTGTTTCCTATTTTCTCGGGACAAGTACAGTCAAACCCACATGAGCCAGCTAGCTTAAACTAAGAAACAGAGGTGAACTCTTCTCTTCCAAGCCTCAAGCCAACTGGAAAAATTGACCCTGAGCCGCTTAAGCCCCCACAGTGCACTTAGGACCCAATCAGACCGTCTGGGCCAGCAGTGCCATCAAAGCAGGGCCTTGGGCTCCTGCTCACATGCATATGCACAATCTGAGGAATTAGGGGCTCCCAGGTTTTCTTTGTATCCTCCATGCAAGGGGCTTTGTTGTTAATGCAGAGGCAGAGTAACCTGAACCCTGTATTCCTTCCACACTGTGTTTGTAGCAGCAAGCAGTCCCATTTCTAGAGGGAAGGCCTGTGATATCAGCCTTGGAGTCCTATGCATAAGTAGGAAGTGTGCTCAGTGGGAGTGGCTTGTGCCCAAAGACGCTGCTGTTGGAAAATGCCTTCTCTTCAGACTCCCCCTGCCCCAGTGCTGTTCCTTGTCACCGGAGGCAGCTAGAGAGGTGCACACTGGCCAAGTAAATGTGTTTCTCTTCATGATTCACTGTCAACCACTGATGAGGATGTAGGGTCTTTAATTGTTAGCTAATAGGTGGGTGCTCCGCTTCTTAAAAAGAGGTTTAAAAAAGAAACTATTTTCCAAGTCAGAAAATGTTATTTTAAAACACCACCTACCACATACATATTCTGTCTACTACTTGTACTCATAATACCTAGTACATAATAAGTATTTGAGCTGCCTTTTTTTTAGCCCTGTAGTTTATGTTCCTTTTGATTCCTTCCTTATTGACCAGCAATTTCTGAAAGGTAGCCAGTGTTAAAATATTTGCTGCAGTTAACACACACACACACACACACACACACACACACACGTGTGTGTGTGTTTACATACATATATGTTTTATGCAGGTATACATACTCATTTAACACATACACACATTGGGGTGAGGGACTTGGCTTGTGTTTTCATGCATGTTCCTAAGGAAGGGGGGGCTGCAGAGAGGCCTTCAAAGGGTTAACTGGAATGGGCACCCTCGACTGCTGGGCGGGGCTGATGTAATCACTGCAGCTCACAGCCAAGTGCATCTGTTCACCATGAGGTCATTCTTCTGCATGCTAATGATTTGGAAAATCAAGTCTAATGTTTGACATTATCGGAAAGGATATAAATAGTGTAAATCTTTACCTTTTGGAAGCTGGTCTTATACACAAGAAGAGAAAAAAGAAACTTCAGCTTGGACCTGAGATTTTGTTTTTTCCAAGAACTGCTTTAAAGGTTGTGTCTAGATCTTAAAACCTTGGAGGAATCCACTTGTGTCTGTTGATAAATGAATCCCCAAATCACTATTACAGTCACAGCTAGCAATTTGGTAGTGGAGGACTACAGGTATGTCTGATTTAATATCTGATTTTAAGAATTTCCAAGTGCCTTGGTTGGAACCTGATAAAGACTGAGTTTTTCAAAGAATGTCCCAAAACCAAGTTAAATGAGTTGTTCTCAGCATACACAAATCAACAGTGTTTGCTGAAGATGCCAACACTGTTTTTGGTTCCTTTCTACCTTAATATTCCTGTAGGGAACCAGCAGAGGGAGCACAAATCTTTGTTTATTTGTGAGCCCTACATAAACACATTTGATTCCTCCAAGATGTGGTCAGACATACTTTCACCTTTATGATAGGCTAGGTGGTAAAGGTTCCAGAATTTAGAACAAGTGGGAGCAAACTCCTTATTCGGCTCCACCCGATTCTGTCATTCTTGATGTAGGTCATATTTGGAGCTTAACCCAGATTAGTCTGAGTCGGTCTTAGGAGGTTGCCACCACCATTCCTATTCACAAAACCATAAGCTTTCAGCGGTCACGCTCAGGAAGTGTACATGTGCCCTCTTGGAGAGGATTATTGTGCTCACCTACCTAATATAAAAGAATTTTGTAATTTTCTTCTACAACAAAATCAAATTAAGTTCATAGAACCTATCAGAAGACTCTGCCTGGTGTCACTGGATCATTCCGGTGACCCTCATAAGACTGCAGGTGTATTGGTCCCAAAGTGAAGCTGGCAAGTGGATGCTACACAAACTACTTTTGTAACTCATCAGCCTTTACCTAGAGGAGTTCACCGGCTGGACCCCCGAACCATACACAGTGGCTACATGTGCCAGGATGTTGCAGGCTTGCCATTCTTCACACAGATCCCCCACATGACCAGTTTCCTGGCAGTTAGCAATCAGGCTGATCCCCAGAAACTGCACAAGGGAGACTCTAACTGTAACCCCCCAAAAGATGACAGATTTTCCCCATTCATTGAGGGTGGTCATGTTACCAATTCACTCAGCCTCTCTCTCTCTCCCTCTCTCTCTCTCTCCCACCCTCCTCCCCCACACTCCTCTCTCCTCTCCTTCCTCCATTCCTCCCTCCATGTTAAAGTGTTCTTCATAAGGTTTCTATTGATAACATTTCTTATGTGTTCACCTTCCTATTAAATTTGCTGAAACCAGCAAAGAACACTGGAGAACATGGAACTAGAAGAAGCTTCAGGGGATATGAA